GCGCTCTGATCAGAGGTCCCATGATAGGGGAACGAGCAATAATATAAGCATAAAAACTCGGAGGTTCGCGCGGATTTCTCGGATCGGCGCTGGGACTCCCTGGTGGCGCCTCCGGCGCCGCCCTTGGCGCGCCCCGCGCGCCTGGGAGGGGGGTCCAGCGCGGATCCGAGAAATCCGCGCGGACCTCAAAGTTTTTATGTTTATGTCATGCTTCGTTCCCCAACATGACGGGCCGCAGGCGGCCCCAGCAGAGGCCCGAAGAGGGCTCAAGAACGGGCCCACACAGCAAGCACGTACTGGGAAGCCATGCGTCTTGCCTGGCCTTTCGGCCCAAGATGGCTTCCGGAGCGCCTCTCCGAGACCTCGGCGACACGAGGGCTGAACGCCCCGACACTGACGAAGTCGAGTGCGGGCGTGGCTTTTGCAGGCGTCCTCTTCCCAGTTCCCTCGCCGCGACCTCGCCTGGGGGCATCTGCCGTGCCTCGCCTGGGGGCATCTGCCGCGACCTCGCCTGGGGGCACCCAGCCTTGTCCCAGAGCAGCCCCATGAGAGCCTCGAGACAGTCCCGCCGAGCCCCCAGATCGCCCAAGGCAGCGCCCCCAAAAAGGTGCCCCCCACGGCCCCAGGGAGCGCCATGACTTCACCGCACGGCCGCAGGAGTGACTCCGCGGTACCCCACGGCTACGGCCCCAGGGGCCCCAAGATGCTCACCAACGCGGCCCCAGAGGCCCCGCGAGGTTCAGGCAGTCCGACAGGGGGCCCCACGAGGACCCGAGAGACCCGCAGAGCCCCTGAGTCGGCCCCGGGGGCCCCAAGAGGTTGCCCAAATGTCCCGAGGCACTCTAGCAGCAGGGCCACGAGCAGATATAGCAGCAGCAGCAGCAGCAGGGATGGCAGCAGCCAGCAGAGCCGGCGGCAACTGCAGCCATGAGCAGCTAGCAGCGGTCAGCGGCAGCAGCGAACGGTAGGATCAGCTAGCAGCAGTAAGCAGCAGTAGCAGCAGGCAGCAGTAGTAGCAGCAGCAGCAGCGGCAGCGGCAGCAGCACGCAGCAGCAGCAGCATCCAGCAGCAACTAGCCGCAAGTAATCGCAAGGTTCAGCAACCATCAGCAAGTAGAAGCAGCAGAAAGCATCAGCGGGCAGCACGAGCCAGCAGGTAGCAACAAGCAACGGCCACGAGCCCTGGCAAGCAGCCGGCAGCGTGCCAGGGGGGCTGCGCCGACCCCCCCCACTGGGCGGCGAGCAAGCCTTCCTTCCATTTCAGCCATCTTGACATGCCGTGCTCATTGGTCAGACAGTAAGTCACGGAAGCTGCCGCTCGCCCTGCATGGAATGTCTGTCGACGACTAGTGCCCAACAGTGCACGCACCGAGCCCAATAGCTTCCAGTTCAAGGGAGGAAACACCACCCGGACCCGAGAACTGGCGTTTACTGAAAGGCCCTGGGCGTTTACTAAACCTCCCTGCCCTGCTCGATTCCTTCTCTGGGTGCGCTTACTGAAAGTCTTCGCGTGTCGGGGTGATTCTTATGAGGGTGGATTTTCTGCCCTCCTACCAATAGCGTTCACTAGCGCCCAGCAGCGCCCAGCGCCGGGGGGGCGACCAAAAGCTTCTGCGAGTTGCTTTCCAAGTGCTCTGTGCTGCCCGCCTCGCCGTGTCGCAGGAGGGGAAGAAACACCCAGACACACACGTATTCGTCGACCCCCAGGAAAATTTGTAGCAAAAGATGGGACATTGCGGTGGAAGACGACACTCCAGAAGATCTACGAGAATGTGGGGAATCCTGGGATTCGTGCATCTTTACTGGTGCGTCCCTGGGCCCCCTCCGTTTCAGGAGCGGGCATGTCCTCCCGGGTGCCGCCGCCTCGGTGGGCGTGCGGCGGCAGGCCGCGCAGGCAGCGTGCCGGCGTGTGCTCTCAGACGTGCCGCTGGCTCGCGCCGGGCTGCCTGCCGCCGTGCCCTGCGCGCGAGTCAAGCGGTAGAGAAGCGTCCTGGCTTGCCTCTACGTGGGACCCCCAAGGAATGTTCCAAGAACCTTTTGTGGTCTGCACGGATGATGACAAACCATACACCAAGCGGTGCGTGGGCATGAACGCTGGCTTAAAGAAGAGCCTGGGCCTTGGCTGCACGCCGGGCCACTGCAGTCGGCTACCAGTGAGAAGCTGTACTTGTGCGCTGGGGGCCCAGGGCACCACAAACGGGAACGGCGCGCAAGTGGGTCACACTAGGACGACCAGGAGGTCTGCACGGAAGCTTCTTAAATCATATCTGGTTGATCTCTTGTCTTGTGCCAACACATCGGGGCCATGTTACAGTAACGCTGCCGTTTGTTCTTAGAACAAGTTTGGGTTCTAAGAACATGTCGTGGTAGGCCTATAGGAATTCCTGGACGGCTAGTCCCTGCTCAAGTTCCGCGCCATGCTGCGCCATGTCCACCGTGCCGCGTCGGGAACGGACTTATTAGATAGTACGTCACGGGACTTCTTGCTGGTCTTGGATTGCACATGCAAAAAGAGCTCAGGAGGATGGGGATAATGCTCAGCGTATGGCGAGAATGAGGAAACATATGCATGGAGGAAGGATAACGAACAAAATTATTATAACGGCGATGCCAGACAAGGCAGCAAGGAGTTATCGCTAAACTGTCGGCTTGACCTTCCTGCCATTTCCGCCTGTATACCAAACTTCAAGGACCAAGGTGCATGGCGCGAAACGCCACTACAGTCTTATACACATATCTATATAGACATATACAAGTGGCACGTGTGTGCCCAAGCTCATACAAAACACTGGAAGGGCGTTTGAAGCAGGAAGACACCATGACTGCGGGATCGGAGATAGAAGGGAAAGCTGGGGCAGCGCCGCCAGGGCGTGCCTAAGAGAAGGGGAAGAGGCAGGAGGTGAACGCAGAATAATCTAAGATCGAGGTCGCACTCGAGCGCAAGGGGGGTTGCCACACCTTGCGATGTGTGTACCAGGGCCCCCCAGGAAACCTCAGGAGGCCCGACTTGGATACCGGAAGAGGCTCCATGAGGCCCCGGGATTGTGAGTGTTGTGTGTGCGTGTGTGTGATGTGTGCTCTGTGTTGTGTGTGTGTGTTTTCTGTGCGTTGTAGGTGTTGTGTGTGTGTGTTATGTTTGTCTAGCGTGTGATGTGTTGGGTGTGATTTGCGTCTCTGTGCGTGCATGTAGTTCTGAGGCCCCAGGAGGCCCCAGGAGGCCTCAGGCGGCCTCAGGAGGCCCCAGGAGACCCCAGGAGGCTCCAGGAGGCCCCAAGAGGCTCCAGGAGGCCACAGGAGGCCCCAGGAGGCCCCGGGAGGTTCCAGGAGACCCCCAGGAGGCTCCGAGGCAGGGTCTGGGGCACCAGAATGCACAGAAAGCCCCAGGAGGCCCCAGGAGGTTCCAGGAGGCCCCCAGGAGGCTCCGAGGCGGGGTCTGGGGTACCAGAAGGTACGTCGGGGCTCGATTTTGGGAGGATGTCTTAGGCGAAACCGCCATTCTCTGAGAATCGGGGTCAACATTATTGAAATTACAATGTGTTTTTGAAGGTTTGATGTTAAAATGTTGAAATTCCAATGTGTTGTTGGACCCTGACGTCACGATCTGCGTGAGGGGCGCCACCGATTTTCAGCATCTCGAGGATGTCCCTAGCGAAACGGCCAGACAAATCGCGCACGCGGCGCCCCGCGTACGCATTCATCGCCTCTGAGCTCTGCTCCCTCGGAGAGGTGCGCATGGTAATATATATATATATATATACACACATATGTGTATACATACATACATACATACATACATACATACATACATACATACATACATACATACATACATACATACATACATACATATATATATATATGTATATGTCGCCGAACAGGGCCTAATAGCGCTCAACCGCGCCGAAGAGCGCGCAGTGTGCGCCCACGAGGCGCCCACGGCCGCCCGCCGGGCGAAGCCTTTGGCGGACCCGCCCTCGGCGCGCGCGGTGCGCCCGCTCCCGGAGCGTCGCCACCCACCAGACCACCCCAAACCCAACCCGAACTGGCCACTTCACTCGTCGACAAGTGTCAGAGCCCCGAATCATCAGGGGCAACTCGGGTCAGGGTTAACTCGGGTTCGTTTTTCGGAAATCCGAACCCGAGTTACCCCGGACCCGAGTTACCCCGGATAATTCGGGCGTCCAGAGCCCCACATCATCAGGGGTAACTCGGGTCAGGGCTAACTCGGGTTCCTTTTTCGGGAATCCAAGCCCGAGTTACCCCGGACCCGAGTTACCCCGGATAACTCGGGCGCCCAAAAGTGTCACACGCAGACAATCGGGGAAGCCACCTCTGGGGGTCGCAAGTGGCGCGCTACAGCGACGCATGCCGAGCAAGCCTCTCGACAGCATCTCCCCGGGAGGTCTAATGAGAGAAGCGAACAACGGCATCCATGAGAGAAGCGAACAACGACACCCAACCCGAAGGCCTCAATTTGCCCTCCATTTCCAGTGGGGGGGGGGGTCGGGGAACATCGAGAAAGCACATATGGAACCCGTACCCCCCCCCAACCCGACATTCGGGTCTTCGGGTTGGGTTGGGGTGGCTTGGTAGGTGGTCAGAAGCCGTCGACCAGCGCTGGGAGCTGGCGCAGAAACGCCAAGACCCAGCCCCCCCGGCACGCATGATCGAAGTTATGTCAGGCGCCCCCTGCGAATCACCGAGCGCGTTCCGCCACTCGCAAAGTGACCACTCGCAAGCGTCCGAAGCGCACATGTCTGCCTCGATGTAGCGTATCGGAGATCCCCCACAGTGCATCCAGGCCACTTGCGAGTAGTTCCTTTGCGAGTAGTGGAACGCAGCTGTCTAGCGACGAGTGCCCAGCGGACTTCATGGAGCGTCGCCCTGGCATGCCAGGAGGCCATGGCAGGCGATAACCCAGCCCCAGTCAGCTACAACGCTGTTATTAGCGCGTGCGAGAAAGGCGAGCATTGGCAGCGGGCTGTGTCGCTGCTCAGCGAGATGGTGGGGGTAAGGTTGGAGCCCACTATCATCATCATCATCATCATCATCATCATCATCATCATCATCATCATCATCATCATCATCATCATCACCATCTCAATGCGCCCAGGGACGAATGCTCCTCAGGCTGGGGCTGCCAGGTTCCAGTGCGGCCATTGCACGGTCCAAGTTTGGCTCACAGGTGATAACATGTGGCCCTCAATGCAGTCGGGGGGGATTTCACGACGGCCCTGTGCTGCTTTCAGGTAGCCTCACGACCTGCTAAGACGTGCACCCCGACAGGCACTCAGCAGACAGCCCCGCATCCGGCTCCCAGGAGCCTCGAGCGACGCCCTCTGGAGGCCCTTGGGAGGCCAGACCCGCGACGTGCCGTCGGATTCCGCATGCTGCTCGATGGAATTCCATGGCCTCGCTGACCCGAGTCGGGTTCGGACGGGCCCGAGACAGCTCCAGCCGATCTCAAGGTGGCTCCAAGTGCGCCCGAAGGCGGCCCAGGAGTGCACAGGCCGCCTCGTCGCGGTCCACAGCGAGCCTCTCCGGCGGCCCGAGGCGAGCTCATCGCGACCAAAGGCGACCCCAAGGCGGCCCCCACGGGGGTCCCCGGGGCGGCTCGCTGCTCTGGCCAGAGACAGGCCAGGACGGACTCGAGATGGTTCAGCGAGGCTTCACGATTGCCCCTGCCGTCTATGTAAGCATGTGCCGTGGCCGTGGGTCTGATCCACGGCACACCTTGGTTCATCGAGCACAAAAGAGCCCCTAACCCTTATAAAACGATGAAGACGTGGCCTCACTGAGGTCCCCGTCTTCGCATTAGGGATAACAGTACTGGGCGGTTTGGTGTGATACACCTGCAGAAAAGATCCCCTACCCCTAATGTTTCTTGCCCTCCGAACTCACTGCCCCCTTCCAAAAGGGTTAGTTTTTTTTTGTTTAATCATTGGTCAACCCTGCAATGCCGTGAGCAGCGCGTGCAGAAGCCCCTTCCCGAGAGCGACAATTTCCCGACGGTTTCGACCGCGCCTGGCTTCTGCGAAGTTGTCCTGTGTTTTCGGGGAAGGCTTAGACAACTTCTCAGAAGGCCGGGGGACTTCCGAGCCTTCTCGGAATGCCTTCTCCTTCTCATTCCCCCTTTTGCTCGCCGCCAATGAGACAGACAATTGCACAATACACATTGGGAGGTCCGCCCAGATGCCTCGACAAACGACGCCGGCCCCTCCTGGCGGACTCCACGCGACAGGGAGGGGGCTCGATGGCCAGTCCAGGAAAGTCGAAAGAGTTCCCAGAGTTTATGTTGTGCAGTTGTTTCGGCCAGCCTGTGGTGTTGGGTTCTCGTTATTGAAGAGACGTCGCCCCGCGTCTCACCTCCCGCTGCCCTCCCCCTCCTGCCATCCCTGCTGCTGCCCTCCGCACCGTGGCCTCATAGGGAGCTCCACGGAAGGCCCCAGTGGCAGGGGCAGGGTTCGCATGCGTCTCCCCCGCCCACTGCGGCACACCCTTCTCGCTTTTCGCGTCCCCATAAGGGGGTTCCTTTCATCTCCCCAGTGGCAGGGTTTGAACGCGTCTCCCCCGTCCACTACGGCACGCCCCTCGCACGCTTCGTGACCCCATAGGCAGCCTCGCCCAGGGCCCAGTGGCAGAGTTCGCGCGCGTCTCCCCCGCCCATGACGGTACACCCCTCGCACGCTTCGTGGCCCCATAGCAGGCTCCACCCAAGGCCTAAAAGGCCGTCCTTGCACGCGTCTCCCCCGCCCATGACGGCATACCCCTCCCTCGCCCCCGGGAGCTCCATTCGGGGCCCAAGTGGCAGGGTTCGCATGCGTCCCCTCCATTTGTCACGGTACATCCGACATTTTTCATGGCCGCAAATAGGGAGCTTCATTCAGGGCCCCAGTGGCACAGTTCGCATGTGGTCCTCTCGCCCACTCTAGCACAACCCCTCACACGTTTCGCCGACCCATGTGGACCTCCACCGAAGACGATGCTCACAACCACGGTGCTCACAACTGCATCTGGCTGGGTCCTTCGCCAGGCTAATCTTATGACGCACCCAGATTGCGCCAAGGTGGCCCGAAGAGGCAGCGAGATGACTGCGGCCAGAGGCCCCGAGGGCTAAACGTCTCCGAATCCCAAGTGGTGGTCCTGTATGCGTGGCAGTTGCTACAGAGGGCTCAAGACGTGCCCCAGAGGCTTCCACGCGGCCCTTAAAGATCTACAGGAGCCCCCAATGCGGCCGAAGACACTTAATAGGTAGATTGCCCAAGGTAGCCCTGGCTGGCCTCTGGGACATCCTCAAGACGGCTCCAAGAGTCCAAGAAGGCCCAATCCCGCTACAAGATGGTCCAAATATCCCCCCAGACCTTCAAAATGGCCCCACGAGGCTCCCAGAGACCCCAAGATTGCCTTACGACAGCCCAAAAAGCGCGCAAGAAGGCCCCGAGACAGTCCTACGCGGGCCTCGATGTAGGGCCAGCTTGCGATCGCAGCATGCAAGCAGCAGAGTCAGCAGCAACAGAGCTAGCAGCAGCAGCAGCAGCAGCAGCAGCAGCAGCAGCAGCAGTCAAGAGAGACGAGCACCAGCAAAACACAGCAGCTGGCCAAATAACCCCTGAAGGCCCCAAGAGGTCCCCAACAGGGCAACGATGATTGAATCATTGGCCAGCCAGCGAAGGCAGCAAGCAAGCAAGCAAGCCGCAGAGCCAACAGCAGAGCAAGCTGCAGTGGGTGGAATCAGCCACCAGCACTCAGCATCATCAAGCAGAACTCGCACGCTGCTGCAGTCGCCACCTCGAATACGCTACACCCTTGCCTCTCATTCCCCCCTGCGAGGGTACACGAGTCATCAGCTACAACGCTGGGATCAGCGCTTGTGAGAAAGGCAAGCAGTGGCAGCAGGCCCTGTCACTGCTCAGCGAGGCGATCGAGGCGACGGTGGAGCCCAGCGTCAGCTTTGTTACACTGCAGGGGCCTGCGCATGCCTGAAGCACGGGCATGAGAAGCTTCCTCCTGCGCCCCAGCGCCCCTCCGGGAGCTCCAGGGCTTCCTCGGGCTCTTCGTCGCGCCCCGCGAGCGCTCCGAGACGCTCCCGGAGGCCACAAAGAGGGCGCCAGGACGGCCTCAGGAGGGTCCAAGAGAGTGTCCGAGCCGCCCAAGAAGAGCCCAAGACGCTCCAAGAGAGCTCCGGAAGGTGCCCCAAGGGGGCCCCGAGATGCAACGATCGTTCCAATCTCAAAGGAAAACGTACGGTTTAAGCATATTAGCTGTTTAGGCGTTCATGGCATCAAAAGCGGCCCTGCGAGTCATCAAGATTCCCTCAAGACGGCCCCAGAAGCCCTCAAGAGGTCCCAAGACGGCCCAAGACGGCCCCAGGACGTCCCAAGAGGCTCCCAAGACGGCCCAAGAGGACACGAAGAGAGCCCCAGAAGAGACGGCCCAAAAACGACCCAAGAGGGACCCCAGACGCCCCAAGACTGCCTAAGAGTGCCGCAATGGATCGAAAAGAAGCCCCAAGATGCCCCCAAACGACCCCCAGGAGGCACCGAGAGGCTTCCAGACTGCCTCGGACAGAGGGGAAGCGGACGCGAGGCGAGACGCTTCTTTCACGCCCGAGATGGGTCGTCAAATCGATGTTGGGAGTCACACTGACATCGATAGTGAGATCGACTGCGAGATCGATCGTGATATCGTCAGCGATCTCGGTCGAGTAAGATCAATCGTGATATTGATAGTGAGATCGATTCAGTGAGACAGCGGCTCCAACCCCCATCGAGCGCACATCAGATCAGCGCCTTGCAGCTAGAAGAAGCAACAGCACACAGCAGCAGCAGCACGTAAGGAGTACGAACAGCACGCAGCAGCGGCAGCATTCGGCAACATGCAGTAGCATGCGCAGAATGTGAGGTCCAAGCCCCACGTCATCATGTCAGCCTTTCGACAGCATGTCCACTATCACATGCCCGCTCGTGCAGATTTAGTGCACGTAGTCCACGGGTCAGCCCCAGTCTCCTACAACGCTGGGATCAGCGCGTGCGAGAAAGGAGAGCAGTGGCAGCAGGCTTTGGCGCTTCTTAGGGAGATGCGGGAAGCGAGGTTGGAGTCCAACGTCGTCACCTACAACGCAGGGATCAGCGCGTGCGGGAAAGGTGAGCAGTGGCAGCGAGCCATAGCGCTGCTTAGTGGCATGCGGGAGGCAACGTTGTATCCGAGCATCATCAGCTACACCGCTGGGATCAGTGCGTGCGAGAAAGGAGAGCAGTGGCAGCCTGCCCTGGCTCTGCTCAACGAGATGAGGCAGACGAAGTTAGAACTCGACGTCGTCAGCTACAGCGCTGGGATCAGCGCGTGCGGGAAAGGTGAGCAGTGGCAGCGGGCGCTGGCTCTACTCAGCGAGATGTGGAAGGCGGAGTTCGATCCGAACGTTATCAGCTGTAGCGCTGGTATCAGCGCGTGCGAGAAAGGCGACCAATGGCAGCGGGCTCTGGCGCTGCTCAGCGAGATGTGTGAGGCGAGGTTGGAGTCCAACGTCGTCAGCTACAACGCTGGGATCAGCGCAGGCGAGAAAGGCAGGCAGTGGCAGCTGTCTCTGGCTCTGCTCAGGGAGATGCGGGAGTCGAAGCTGGTGCCCGACGTCATCAGCTACAGCTCTGGGGCCAGCGCCTGCGAGAAAGCCGAGCGGTGGCAGCTGGCCCTGCTGCTGCTCGGCGAGATGCGCGAGGCGAAGCTGGCGCCCAAC